ATCTTTTCTACATTGAGTTTGAGGCAAGACTGGGCTACATGAGACCCTATCTCAAAACAAATAAAAACCAAATAAATGTGTAATTAACATCATGCGATACTCTACCCCACTGATGGAAATTCAAAACTTATATACTCTTGGAAATTTGTGTGCTATTTCTTAATGAGGAAAAACTGCACTATTCTTTTCAAAGATATTAAAGGCCCCTTTTACACTTGTGTTGCAGATCTCTTCAGTGCAAACATATGCTTAGACAGAGGGGAGATTAACTTGAGCGTCCTTTCGTTAATTACAGAGATTAGGAAGTGGCTGTCTGGCTAGTTTCTAGAGGCTGGATGAACTCCAGGTCATCAAATACAGCAGCTCACCAAGAAGATACGGTTGTTTTGGGGGTAAGTAATGCCTAGTTACCCTTCCTTAGACTCTCGCCTCAGTGAAAATACTTGATGAGAATCCAATTTGTTTTAAATACTTGCATAGCTTCCATGGTCTCCAGGCAGCACCTGTCAGCAGTTATGATGGTGTTGGGCGTGAGTTAGGATGGCAGGATAGGCAGCCCTGCAACTCTGCATATAAACAGTACAGATCACAAGTTTCCCGGATGCCAGGCTAGAGTCTTCCCTTTTAGTACCTTTTATTGCCTATCACAGAACATCCTAGAATGTTTGATTGGAAGGGACTAAGGTACAGTAGTTTGCAACAAATGGTTTTGTCATACTGTGCAAGCCATTTGGAGTACAAACAACAGCAACAAAGAGTCCTTCTGGAACAGACAGTCATTTAGGGGTGTGCTGCTCCAGAGCTAGGAAGGCTGATGCAGGAGCATCACCTCGAGCACACACTGAGCAGGGGCTGAGATGAGGCAGGTCTGGGGCCAGATCCCAGCTGGCACTCACTACATTCTTGACACTGCATTGTCCCTATGAGCTATTTGTCTCTTCTTTCCAGGACTCCAGTCTGTGCAGTCCCTCCTGGGAATGTCTACTCTAAGAGTGTTTATCTGGCAGCTCTGTGCACAGCTCTTCCTGGGGCTGGGCTGTTTGTGTCTGTGACACATGCAGAACTTCTTTAAGCAATAACTGGAAGAAATGAGGACAAGCCCCTCTCATTGCCCCTTTTACTTTCCCCAGCCTTTCAACATCTCAGGGAATAGCAGTTGAAGGACACAGGACCTGGGGGTAGCTGTGACTGGCTCCTGGTTCAGTTCCTACGAATGCTGGTGCCGACCACTCTTCAGATTTCTCTCTTGTTCTTTGTGGCACCACCAGCAGCTCATGCAGGGTCACCACATGTGAAGAGATGAGATGGACATCCTTGCTTGTTTCTTTTTTCTTTTATTTCTTTTTTTTTCTTTTTGCAGTACGGGGGATCAGACCCATGTTTGATCATGCTAGGCAAGGCTTGTTCGTGCCAGACAAGTACTCTGCCACCTGCAACCACTCATGCTACTATGCCTGCAGCCCTAACATGAGCATCTTTGAGTTCATAATTCACTCTTTATTTTTAGTTCTAGCCTTGTGAGCTGATGAAGGCAAATATAAGTAAATCTGAAAAAAGCATTCTTCTACTCTTCTTATTCTAGTATAACATCCAATACTAACATGGTGTAATTTCTAGGGTAGTTGTTCTCAAACACTTTGACCTCAGGGTCTCAGGATTCTTTTTCATGCTTAAAAGTTATTGAGGATCCCAGAGACCTTTTGTTTATGTAGTTTATTAATTGGGTTTAGATTTCTACAATTTTCTATATTACAATAAATCTGAAAAGTTTCAAAAATACTTCCTACTTAAAACTAAAAGTAATAAAACTCTTGTAAGTACAGTATGATAGTGCCTGATTGAACTAACAGTACTTGGAAAGCAGAGGCAGGAGGATTACAAATTCAAGGCCATCCTGGACTGCACAGTAAGCTCTGGGCCAGGGTATGAGACCCTGTCTCTAAAAACAAACAAAAGCCTGTTGTAGGCTAGGTGTGCTTGTGCATGGCTTTAATCCCAGTGTCTGGAGACAGAGGCAGGCAGATTTCTGTGAGTTCTAAACCAGCCTGGATTATATAGCAAGCTCTAGACTAGCCAAGGTTACATAAATGGCATGATTTATTAAAATTAAATGTTCCAAAAAGTTTTAGTTGGAAAAAGTTGTATTGAGCTTTATAAAGTCTCTTTAATGTGTGATTTAAAGAGAAGACAATTGGCTTCTCATACCTACTTCATTCTGTTTGTTGTTGCAATAAAATGTATAGAGAAAAAAAGCAGGCCTCACACTGAGGTGAAGGTAAAGGGAGGCCTTTGGGCTTCTTGAGATAGGCAGAAATGCCCCAGTGTTGTTGCTTTGAGAACTGCTGGTCTAGGTAATTAGTTCCGTGATTTCATTAGTGTTGTCTCTTTTGAGTCTCAAAAAGTTGCATAATAACCTCATGATATTGGTTGCTGCATCAGAGAAATGATGCGAAGAGATGAATAAAGACAACAAGTAAGAAAGATTATAGCTCTTAGAGTACTTAGAAAATATAAGAAGCTTTTCTAGGGCTGGAGACACCACTGCATAAGCCTGGTGACCTGAGTTCAATTCTAGAACCCACATGGTGGGGGAGGAAAGAAGTGACCCACAAAGTTGTCCTCTGACCTCGCTCCTTGCACCATGTGTGTACACACACACACACACACACACACACGAGAGAGAGAGAGAGAGAGAGAGAGAGAGAGAGAGAGAGAATAATGACTTTAATTACCAAAGAAGAATTATACAGACTGATCATATATATGAAATATATATATATATATGTTTTATTTTCAATTACATGCTCATAATATTTAATTTATTGTGGTAAAGTACATGTAACAAAATCTACCATTTGTGACATTTTATACATAGATGCTATTGTGTAGTGGTCACCTACTCTCTAGTTGCATGACATTTTTATCATTCCCCAAAGGAAACTATGTCTTCAGTAAGCAGTTACATACACCTCCATTCTTCAATTCTCCACCTCAGCTCAGCTCCTGGCAACCATGAACCAATCTACTGTCACTGTAGATTTTTAAACTGGGTATTTCATGTGAATGGGATCATGTATTATGTAGCATAGTGTGTCTGGTTTCTCTCTCTCTTTCTACCTCTCTCTCTCTCTTTTGCTTAGCATGGTGCTTTCTGGGTTCAACCATATTATATTCAGTATTCAGGATTGTTTAGTATCTGGGTAGGCCACATTTTGTTTATGTATCCATGTATACATCTACTGTTTTCTCTCTCTCTCTCTCTCTCTCTCTCTCTCTCTCTCTCTGACAGAGTTGCACTGTTTAGCTCTGGCTGGAACTCTCAGTTTGACCAGGCTGGCCTTGAACTCACAGACATCTGCCTGCCTTTGCTTCCTACTGTTGGGATTAAAAGCATGTGCCGTTATACCTTGCTTGAAGAAATGTTTTTGTCTCTCAGCTGTTGTGAGTAGTGTTTGGTGAGCAAGTATGTACCAACTTTTGTTTAAATACCTATTGTCAATTTTTAAATTTATTTATTTTATGTGTATAAATGTTTTGCCTAAACATGCTGTGTGCACGCCTGGTACTACAGAGGTGTGAAGCAGGCATCAGATCTCTCAGAACTATGGGTTTTTGGTTTTTCTTTCTGTGTGTATCTCTGGGTGTATGTGTTACTGGGGATCAATCCTAGGCATCATGCATGCTAGACAAGCTCTCTATTTTACCACAATACCACATATCCAGGCCCGAGTTTAGTATTTTTAGAAAAAAAAATTAATTTATCTTTTTAATTAGTTCATAAGAACAAAATTATACATATTAATATAATATATATTGTTAATAAAAATTCATAGTGCATAGTATTTAAATCAGTTTAAAAATAATTGCTGGGCTGGGGAACTAGCTCAGTTGGTATGTGCATGACATACAAGCATGAGGACCCAGGTTCAATATGCAGCACCTACATAAGAACCTGGCTATGCTGGCACTTGCGTGCAATCCCAGTGCTGGGGAGGTGGACATAAGTAGATCTCTGTGGCTCACTGTTTAGCCAGCCCAACCTAATTAGCCATAAGTCTCTGTGAGAGACCCTGACTCAAAAAGCAAAGTAGGTGTCTCCTGAGGAATGACATCTAAGGTTGGGGGTGTCACACTCTGGCTTCCACATACATGTACACATGTGCATATGTATCAGCACATGTGAAAATACATATACACAAACATGCATGCATAAAATAATTCTTAGTGTTTTTGAACATTAGTTTTGATTTGTTTATCTGCTGAACCTATATCAACAGCTGCAGTCCCAAGAGAATGAAGCAGGAAAAAGGAAAACGTCAAAGGCACATAGTTAATCTCTTTTGAAAAGAATACATCACACACACAAAGAAACAAAGAAAAGAAAGAAGGAAAGAGGAAGGAAAGAGTTAGCTTAATCACACTACTAATGTTAGACCTAATGAAACTCAGCGCTTGTGGTCTCTCCATTCCACAGGGAACACGCTTCCCAGTGACTTCAAGGGATGCTGCTGCCTGGCTGCCAACTGAAACCAGCTCTTCCTCAGGTTTTCCATAGACTTTGGGCTGTGATGGGGAAACTGCAGAGCAAACTCAGACACAGCACTTATAAGTACAGGTAGATCGCATCTTGGGGACCCCAGTTTATATGCTCTTTCACAATTCTCTACTAAGGACAAAAGGCAAGTGTTGGTGATCTTCCCTTCCACTTGGTACTGTACGCTGTTTTAGGTAAGAAGTGGTCACCTCACCAGCTACTACCTACAACACACTCTCTGGAGCCCTGAATCTTTGGGAGTCCTCTCTAATGAGAACAAAGACTCCTTGCCTCTAAATCCCCTTCATCAGATTTCAGTAACCCTGGGTGTTTCCCAAATACACAGCACTGTTTATTTCTGGACGTTTCCCAAACAGTGAGTCTCTTTTCTGCCTCACTTTCCATCCTTCCTGCAGCAGGCCTGATGGACTTATGGAGGAGGGAGTCCAGACAAAAGTGTCCCAGGAGTACAGCCCTGCTCACGTGGATGCCGTCTCTGTGGTTGCTACTCTGAGCTCAGACCTTTGTGTCTCTGGAGGAAAAGACAAGGTAAGGTTTCCATTTCTTCCCAAGAAACCAGCTCACTGTAGGAAATGGAAGATGTCCTGAGAGAGTCGAACAGTGCATTTCTACACTGCAACAGGGCTCCAAGTTTGAAGACTGGAGTTTGAGGCCCAGCTCTGCCACTTCCTATTACTGTAGGCAAGTCTATGTTTTCTGACCTCCGATTTCTTAGTCTGTTACATGGGTAAACAGTAACGCCCGTGTTCTAGGACAGTGTGAGGATTCAACGAGAACCTCACCCGATGCCAGGCCATCTACATGCTTTTGTAAGTGGGGGACTTATATTCCACCCACCTCATTCTTAACAGTAGGACTCAGACTATGGAATCAGCAAAAAATTTTCTGGTTGCTTTATGTTTCATTTTCAAAAATTCACACTGGTTTTCACTACCTTTATATTTTGGTCTTTCCTGTTGCCATCATCCTGGACTTAACTGCTTTCTATCCCTACATTAAGAGCTGTCTTGTCATTCACTGCTGGCAGCTGCAGCTGCAGTACACTGCTGATTCTTCCTTGAAGGAAACACTACTAATAATGTCCTTATTCCCAGTAGACTTTCAGGATCACTCAATTTCATTTGCAAATTGTATTTCAAATTTGTAAGATGCATTTACCTTGGATGTTATTGCTTCAAATCAGGATACATTTGAGTATCAATACTTAATTAGTAATGTGATGTCTCTCTCTCTTTTGTTTTTTGAGACAGGGTTTCTCTGTGTGTATTCCTGGCTGTTCTGGAACTTGATCTGTACACGAGGCTGGCCTCGAACTCATAGAGATCCACCTGCCTCTGCTTCCTGAATACTAGAATTAAAGGCGTGTGCCACCACCACCCAGCAGCAATGTCTTGTCTTGATGTCTATATTATTTTAGATCTAAGAAATTGTCTTGAGTTATGGGGTCCCTTCTAACAGCTGTGAGAAGGCAGAAGGGCAAGGAGCAGCTCCTCTGTTCTAAAGACTGGGGAGCTGATAGGTCAGGTGTCACAGCAAGTGACTGGAGCCGTGAAGAGCTTGCTCCCCTCTCTGTAGCAGACACTCAGCAAGGAAATGCTTTAAACTTCTGCTCAGGAGCCGGCGTGGTGGTGCCACCTGTAATCCCATGTCTCTGCAGACTGCTGTTGCCTATAATTGGAAAACTGGACATGTGGTGAAAAGGTTCAGAGGGCATGAGCGGGAAATCACTAAGGTAACCGTCAAATGCTTATTCTGAAGGGAACTAAGGCGTGAATAAAGACATCAATAGCTGTAGCTGTTAAAGGGCTTAAGGAAAAATGCGAAGGCCTCCCCTGATGCTAGAAGAGCAGAATGAATAATTTCAAGTATGAAATTAGCCAAACACCTAGCAGAGGTGTAGTAAAAACTTGCCATAGTACACATACAGTAGATAACCAGTCAATCTTTTCCCCCAAGACGGGGTTTGTCTGTGTAACTCTGGATTTCCTGGAACTTGATCTGTAGACTGGGCTGACGTCAAACTCACAGAGGTCTGCCTGCCTCTGCCTCCCTAGTGCTGGGATTAAAGATGTGCACCACCACCCAGTTTACTCAGTCTTCAAAAGGAACAAAAGACGCTGGAGAGATGACTCAGCAGTTAAGAGCACTGGCTGCTGTTCCAGAAGAAGTGGGTTCAATTCCTAGCACCCATGTAGTGCTTACAACCATCTGTAACTCAGCTTCCAGGGGATACAACATTCTCTTATCTTCCAAGGCACTAGGCTCAAAGTGGTGTACTCATGAAGCAAAGACATCCATACATGTAAAATAGTAATAATAAAATAATTTAAGGGAGCTTGAGAGATGGCTCAGTGCTTAAGAGCACTGATTACTCTTCCAGAGGATCCAGATTCAATTCCCAGCACCTACATGGTAGCTCACAACTAACTGTCTGTGATTCCAGTTCCAGGGGACCTAACACCCATGGCAGAATACCCAATGTACATTAAATAAAAATAAATAAATTTAAAAATTTAAAAAATTTTTAGAGGGATGAAATTCTGGGATTGGGTATGCAGCTCAGTAAAGCCTAGCATGGTGAAGCCCTGGATTGGATCCGGAACTGAAAAGAAAAGGTGACGCTCTGGCGTGTGTTCCACAGCGGCAGATACTGGAAGCGTGTTTAGTGAAAGACGCTGGGCCAAAGGGTGTGGCGTAACTGACATGAGGCCGTGAGGCAGGGGTGAGCAGGCAGGGGTTACAGAGAATGGCACGGCTGCACTGTACGGCCATGGACGTTGTGTCATTGGAGATTGTTGGTGTTTGCACAGCAGTGTGAATGTATTTGCTGCCACTGAGCTGTAAGCTTAACGTGGTTATTTCTGTAACACATGTGTGCGCGTACACACACACACACAGATAATTATAAATAAATCTTTTCTTTTTCTTAAGAGAAACAAATTACGCTGGTCTACATAGTGAGTTCCAGATCAGCCAGAGCTACACAGAGAAACCTTGTCTCAAAAAAACAAACCAGAACAACACAAAACAAGAAAGAAACAAAAATAAAAAATGTGTATGTGGGGAGGAGTTTACAAAGCCATCTGCTGTTTTGAAGTCCTGTCTAGCATGTACACCTGAGTTGTTTCTGTTTTTATTTGTTCTCCAAGCAGATAGCCTGTATTCCCAAATCAAACCAGTTTTTCAGCGCCTCTCGAGACAAGAGTGTCCTGATGTGGGACCTGCAGGGCTCCTCCCAGCCTAGGCAGGAGCTGTCTGGCCATGCCTTGGTTGTCACTGGCTTGGCTGTGAGTCCAGGTAAAGTGAAGCAGACCTCCTGCCAGCCCCAGGTGCCTTTCCAGAACCCATGTCCCCAGCCCCGCTCACGGCTATTGTGTGTTCTCACCAGCCCCGCTCACGGCTATTGTATGTTCTCACCATGTCCCCAGCCCCGCTCACGGCTATTGTGTGTTCTCACCAGCCCCTCTCACAGCTGTTGTGTGTTCTCACCAGCCCCGCTCACGGCTATTGTGTGTTCTCACCATGTCCCCAGCCCCGCTCACGGCTATTGTGTGTTCTCACCATTGTTTCCAAAGACTCATCACAGCTGTGCACCGGCTCTCGGGACAACAACCTGCTTCTGTGGGATGTGGGGACTGGACAGTGTGTGCGGAGAGCGTCTGTCTCCAGGAACCTGGTACCTGTAGGACAAGATGGTGGAAGGAGTATGGAGTGAGGGAAGCGAGCTGGGGCGACAGCTCATAGCAGAGAGAGTGTGTGTGTGTACCAAGGCGGAGGGGGCTCGGGTTCAGTTGAGAGGTGGTGGCTGAGAGGAAGAAGGAGAAAAGAGAGTAGTACCCTCATTCGTTTCTTCCCAGCTTACGGTTAGCATAATTTGGGTGAGCACTGCTCAGAATAGAAATATAACCAAGTACATGGTGTCCTGTCTTGAAGGAACTCACACCTTATGTGTACAGAATGTGACACCAGATGGATGCTTGCCCCTTTGAATACGTAACATCATGCAGAGAAATCAGTGTGCCCTTTGCTTGATACAATTCACTGTGTGACAGTGAGTGCTGTAGACTTTGCACGTCCTTGGGCCCTGTCTCAGCTGCCTTCCACACTTGTGTTTGTATGGGTTTTTTTCTTTTCCCCATGCTGGGGGTTGAACCCTAAGCCTTGTACATGCTAAGCAAACACGCTAACCTGTACTCCCAGCCCTGCCTTCAAACCACAGGTCTGTCACTTATTATTGTGAGTGCTAGTTTGTGCTATTTAAGCCTAGATTCTAAATATCTCCATTTATAAAATGCGAGTTATGTCACTAGGCAAGATGCTTTGGGTGACTGAAGCACCTATCATTGTACTTGACACGTGGCAAAGGTTCCTCAGAGTCTAGTCATCTGCTGTGCTGGGGCTGATTGACATCAGCTGCAGATGGTGGGATGTGCTTCCTAATGCCATCCATATTTGTCAGGACACTGTGCTGAGAAAAGGACAGTTCTGCTACCATGGGTTGTTTGGAAACCTGTTTATGCACTTCCAGTCAGGGCTGCAAGGCCAGGATTAACTGCCACTCTTAGGAACCCCTGAGATGTTACAGAAGTGTTAGGGGACTCATCACTGCCAGCTGGGGTTCAGATCACCATGGCTAGCCACAAGGCCTGCCCACTGAATACTGAGGAGGTACAGCCGGAGGAGGACTGACCAGGAGCTGTGGGGCGAAGACCTTGCTAACCCAGGCTCAGTAGCACAGAATCCTTGAGAGGGGATGAGAGATAGAATTGCAGCAGGGGAATGACTGGTGTGGAGACTTGCTGGTTGTTTTCTCCAGGTCACTCACCTGTGCTGGGTCCCCAGAGAGCCATACGTTCTCCAGTCCTCTGAGGATAAGACCATCAGGTGGGCTACTGAGCCTCTGTGGAGGTATTTCTGGTGAAGGTCTGTAGCTCTTGTGCTTATATGATTCTGTCTCCATTCTGCTTGTTCATGAGGGCTGGATTCCCTTCACTCCTGTGTGCCACTGGGACTCTGACTGGAGCTTATGGGAACAGAGTGAATGGTCCTACTCGGAGCAGTCTGAAGCAGCTGACCTCACTAGTTCCAGTGTGTGACTTGTTCAGATCAGCCTCGACCCCACCTGTTCCCTGGTCCTACTGTCATGCCCTACATGATTCTTGGGATTTCCAGGCACCTAGCCAGAGCCTTCCTGGGAAAGAAGGGTCAGAATCTTATATGGGGTGTGTGTGGGGGGGGGGGTCAGATTAAGTCAGGAGTTTACAAACTGGGGAGCATGCCTCAAAATTCTGTCTCTCCAAAAAGACTTTTACTCTAAAATAGGAGGAAGGAGATAGGGAGGAAACAATGAGATGAGAGGCTACGCAAAGCTCTCCCCTGGACTCCAAGGCCACGGCCAGCGAGGGCAGCCTCAGCCCGAATCCCGTTCTGAAATGGTGGCGATACTCTAGTAGGATCCTTTAGCAGTGGGTTCAGGAGGCTGAGGACTCAGGCAGCCTGGACTGTATGTAAGACCTGTTTCAAAACAGCCACAAAGGATCTTTTCAAAAATTCCTGATATAAACACAAAAATAGCCTTTAGTTGATTAAAAGCAGTGTCCTAAAAGATCAAATGAACTTGTACAAGTAAGATGTGTGTTGTAGCCAGGCTGTGTTGGCACATGCATTCGGGAGGCAGAGGCAGGCAAATCTCTGAGTTCCAGGCAAGCCTGGTCTACAGATGAGTCCAGGACATCCAGGATTAAACAGGGAAATCCTGTCTCTAAAACAAACAAACAAACAAACAAACAAAATGTATGCTCTAAAGTCTCCGTGTAAAGGTGTGAGATGGCTTAGCAGATAGAGGCACCTGCTGAACTGGCAGCCTCAGTTCAGTCCCTGGGACCCCACATATTGCTATGGTGTATACACCCGCTCCCCCTAAATAAGTGTTGTTTTTTTTAAAAAAAAATTTATTTATCTATTATGTATACAATATTCTTTCTGTGTGTATGCCTGAAGGCCAGAAGAGGGCACCAGACTTCATTACAGATGGCTGTGAGCCACCATGTGGTTGCTGGGAATTGAACTCAGGACCTCTGCAAGAGCAGGCAGTGCTCTTAACCACTGAGCCAACTCTCCAGCCCAATAAATTTTTTTTTAAAATAAAAGCCCATATGACTTGATTTCAAAACAGAAAGAATCAATATGGCATTGATTTGGTTACTTCCTGTCAGCTTTAGAGTTTGTCAGATTGTGACATTCTGTTCTGACCGGCGACAAAGAAAAGAGTCAAGCTTTTCCTGTTAGTTCACAGGTATGTTTTTGTCCCATTTACTACAAGGTCTCTTTCTGCTTTTAATTGCTTTCAGATTATGGGATAGTCGGGGGCTTCAGGTGGCTCATGTGTTTCCCACAAAGCAACACATCCAGACCCACTGTGAAGTCAGCGTGGATGGACACACATGTATCTCTTGCAGCAGCGGCTTTGGGGGTGAAGGCTGTGAAGCCACGGTAAGAGCCCATATTGATGAGCAGACTGCTTTGGTCTCGCTCCCCTCTCTGGGCTCTTCGACAGCACTGGCCTGCTCCAAGTGCAGACTGTCAGTCACCCTGTGCATTTCAGAGGCTTCCTTTAAGAAGCATCTGTTAGCTGGACAGTAGTGGTGCATGCCTTTAATCCCATCACTTGGGAGGCAGAGAGAGACTGGTGGATCTCCATGAGTTTGAGACTAGCCTGTTCTATAGAACAAATTCCAAGATAGACTCCAAAGCTACAGAGAAACCCTGTCTTGAAAGACAAAAAAAAAAAATTACACACACAAAAACACAAGCGCGTGTGCGCGCACGCACACACACACACCATCTGTTAACCTGGGTATGTCTGAATTGGTAATAGTCAAGTAGAGAAGGGCGAAGGGCTCAACAGAGCAGCCTGCTGATGTTCTTGCTCCTAGTGAAGCCTACACAGGTAGGACATGTTCTTTGTATATGTGGCCATGCTAATGGAAGCTCAGCTCAGGGAACCATGGAGCTCCACAATTGGTCCAGGGCCCACCACACCCCTATTCAGCTATGCACCCTCCTTGCTGATACACTCTTCAAGACTCTCCAAAGTTCCTAGATTCATAATTGCAGGTTATCAGTTAAAAGAATTATCTTTAATTATCTATTCCAAATGAGAGAGTTGTATTTCTGACTTATCAGGTATGTATGCCATGTCAGGTATTGAACTAAGCATGCATGGCTAATTTCATTTAATCCCTAAGACAAGCTTGTGAGTTAGGTGCTGTTTCAATACCTAATTTACAGTTAAGGATCGGAAGCATGACAAGTTGGAGTTTCTTACTCAGGATATATTCTTAGGAAGGGTAGATTAGGATGCTGCTGTCAAAGATGGTGGATAACAGGATCTCCTGTGACCCCACTGCTTTTGCACACTGTTCAGTTTTCTCTCATCTCTGAATGGTGCCTTCCAGGTGTGATGTGATCTGTGTCAGTACAACTGGGACTGACCAGGCTGTTGCTTCCTTTGTCAGAGGCACTAGGTACCTTACTGTATGGTCCCCATGGGACCCAAGATGCCAGGAGGCAATCTCTGAGTTGTCATGGAGAACAAGACACCCCATACTGTCCCATCACCCCACAGCACTGTGAGCTCTACTCCCCTAGCCATGGAAAAGGCACGCCCTTCCTCCACAGCCATAGCTAGTGTTGTCTGAGGCATAGCTGCTGCTACGATAGTTGTTGGATGGGTGGATGGTTCGGTGTGGTGGATGAGATAAGGGCTTTGTCTGGCTTTCTGAATTCATGAGAGGAAGGGATCAGTGGGTCATGGGGAATGGGAGGATGGATATTAGCGACACATGAACATCTGTGTGTATGAGCTATCTGGTGTCATTACTTTGCAGTTGTGGGACCTAAGGCAGACAAGAGACAGAATATGTGAGTATAAGGGGCACTTCCAGACAGTTGCATCCTGTGTCTTTCTACCAAAATCCATGGCCTTGATGCCTATGATTGCTACCTCAGCACATGACTCCACAGTGAAGATTTGGAACCAAGATACTGGAGGTAAGCAGTCTTCTCTCCGTGCTTTTCAAAAGCCTGAGACACTTCCCATTGCTCACCATATTCAAAGCCACCCATATCCTGACACTGTATGGTCTCCTTGTAGTTAAGAGGTGAGACACATCTTTCTGTTCAACATCTGTCTCTAAGCTAGCACCATGCTTCCCACATGAGATAATGTACAGTTATTCCTAAGACTACAGAGACAACATGCTCCCCACATGCTATAATGTATAGAGTTATTCCTAAGACTACAGAGACAACATGCTCCCCACATGCCATAATGTACAGAGTTATTCCTAAGACT